GTCACAGCCTGCATGTTTCTTCTTAGCTTTTCCTCAATTTCCAACTCATCCAAACATTATAATGTAACAAGAAATTAAAAAAAAAAAAACATACTTTGATAAGGGTTTAGGCATAATAAGGATTGAATCCATATCATGAAGCAATAGTCAAATTCATTGTAAGCATGTAGGATAGTGAAACCTTAAGTGCTTTTTTGAGCTCAAATGTGTATTCCTTGAGTAAATGTGAAGAAAACAGAACACAAACAATGCATGGCAATCCCACCAAAACTTGCTCTCCTTTTGGACTAATTATTTATGATTATTGTCGCATGCATGCCTTCTTTGCCTTTTACCTCCCAAGTCGTAAATGCATGATTTCTACTCGGGACAAAAACTTGTCTCTCCATTCCAAGTTAGCAGTTTTCTTTTATGTTGTTTTGTCCCCTGAACATGACACAAAAGCAGCTTAGAAAATAGTTGATTGATGAAGATTGCCAATTTATAAATATATAAATATATATATGGGACTAATATTTCCATGGTAATGCCTGACGATGAAGAAACATATGTTTTCAGTAGACAATAAGCTCAAGGACATTAATTAATTATTAAAAAGTTTCCAAGCCCCCAGCTTGGTTTGAAACATGTTGCTCCATCCTTAACCCATTTGAAACCTCATAATTAAAAGAATTAATCTCATAGATTTATGGGTGACTACACTGTTTGATACAAAATCAACAAAAGCTAATTGTGAACGGATATTTTGTGAAATGTTTTGTTTACTCAATTTAAATTAAGTTTTTGACAAGTATTAATTATATCGACAAGTTTTAAGTCAGATAAAAATTTAGGTATAAAGATTATTAACACGTCATTTTTTAATGCATTACTCAATAGATGTTTTAATTTAAACTTAATTCAAGCTATTTCGAGTCTATTTCATTGTCAATGAAAGTCCATATCCATCACGGTTTTGGGGAGGAAATGGGTTGGCTGATATTACGGCTAACAAAGGTTTTTCTACCTACAAAAGATTTGTGTTTTGACAGTCCACCAACTGACAATGTGACAGAGATTTGTTTTTCTCAAATGATTAGATTATAAAATTTTATTTTTCATAAGAAAAAAAGAGATTAAATTGAGATTCGTAATTACTTAATTTTTACACAAACTATAGCATTATTCAATGATTGATACAATTAATTGTGCATGGCTTAAAAGCGATGGAAAATGCTTACAAATTTCCATTGAAAGGAATGGCACTAATCAGTTCAGAGTACTTAGAAAAAAAGAACAAAAATGTTTAAACGTGGAAAGGCAGATTACCATGTGAGTAAAGATAATCTTTCCGTTGAGATGAAGAAGATTTTGCCTTGACACAGCTGTTTCTAAGGGATGAGAGTACAATCAGCTGGCATGTCCAAGTATGAAAGACTCAATGCTTTGTCATTTCCTCGACTTTAATTCATAATCAGGGTTTGAATATATCCTGACGTGAATTATTAGGATTCTTCTTTTCCCCCTTTTTGGTACAAGGAATTCAAAAAGTATAAATGTAGACTTTGAGGGTTGAAAATTTCCCTTTACCTAAGCATCAAAGTAAAAAAAATCTAGTTAAATGGAAGTAAGGTATTAGCCAACTTAATTAAAATTTGAGACTTTAACTTGGAGGTTTCGACTTTAAATTTGAGAATATGAGATGTGAGTTTATTGGTGCAAAATAAATAAGAATCCAGAAACTCATTCGATAAATCTGAAATCGAACCTGATTTAACCCATATTAATAAACGAGGTTCAAGACTCGGATTTCAAAAGAATTCAAATTTAAAACGACTCGAACTTGAAATAAACTACATTTTTAAATGAAGAAGTATCCCATCAACTAGAGTTGTTTGTTGGGGAAACCATTAATCGAATTAACATGTATGTATGTAGTGAAATTTGTATGTTTTCTCATTTGTAAGATCAATTTTTGGTTTGTTTAACATAAAAAGCCCTAATTAGGAGGAAACAAAGGATCTGAATCCAGGATGCCATGAAATCTTGGGTACCAATATCTTCCAAAGCACCAAGCAATAAGTGTAGCAAATTACAAACTGTTCAATTATCCATCCTCCACACTAAAAGTTGGAAAATCTCCAAGAAAGAAAGGAGCCAGTGTTTGATACAATTGTTAACACATGGTTTTTTCAAAATCCAAATTTGGATTTTTATAATAAGCTATTTGTAATAAAAATTATAACAATGAAAACCATTTAAAAATATGAATTTTGATAAACTTATAACAGAGAGATTAATTAGATAATTTAGGAAAATGAATGCTGTAAAAGTAAAATATATTTATCATAAAAAATTTAAAGAACTCAAGATTTTTTTTTAGACAAATGAATATTCCAGAATTAAGCCAAAACTTTGAAAAGCTTCACTACATGTTACAAATTTTGAGAAGTTTAGAGAGGCCAAGTAAGTATTAATACACAAATTAAAAGAAAAAAAAACCCTTAAAGTGTTAATTTTTTCTTTCTGAAAAATTAGGGAGGTGGGAGAACTAAGGATTAACTACAATATTAAGAAAACTTAAAAGGTAAAATTGAGATTTTGAAAAAGTTAAGAGTGGCCATGGCCTTCCTTGGCACCTCTGCCTCTGTCGTTGTTTAGGGTTAGTATTAATCTTTTGGCTTAAATAATTAAGTCATTGAACTACATTAATTTATGTAACTAAATTCTTATATTTTTAATCTTGTATTTAGAGAGATCTTCATCCTTTAATTTATACTTAAAAACTCTTATTCTTTTACAATACTCACACAAGTCATTAATTCATAATAAAAAATTAACAACCGTTAAATTTAATGTCAATTGATATTTTTTATCCATGTGATCAGATGGTAGCTAAGGTGATCACGTCATATTCCATGTAGTGAGTTTGAAGGAGGAAAAAGGAAAATCCATTTCAATTATCACATAATCATATAATCATGTCACGTCGTGTACTATATGAATTAAAAATGATAATTAACATTGAATTTGATGATCGTTAATTTTTCATTATGGATTAAGGGCTTACATGGATTTAACAAGAATAAAAACTTTTTTGAGTACAAACTGAAGGATTAGAATTTTTTTGAGTACAATAAAGTACAAGGACTCGAGTGCATAAACTAATAAGTTTAAGAGTTCGTTTTGTTATTTAAGCCAATGTTTTCTTTTCAATGTTGAGACCAATAAGCTTTTGTATATATGAATGGCTAGAGCAAATATATGAATATTCAAGCAAAAACAAAAAAAAAAAAAAAGGTCAACCAACAAACTTCTTGTTTGTTACATTATATGGCGTATGTATAGAGAGGACTTCCCTTTCATAGGGCATAGTTTGAGCAAAATTTTCCATCATGTGAGACTTCCCAAGGGGCAAGAGACATGATGTAAATAAGGCACAAGGACCTGAGCTGAAATGCATGCATTTGGTCTCTAGATTTGCCTCGGTTCCTTGCTGACATGTATATATAAATGCTAGTTTCCATGCCCTAAAAAGCATTGTGACCCAAGCAACAGGCTGAATGAATGGAAGGGGACAAAGGGGTGGCCATGGACGTCGACTTGTAATTCCTTTGTACATGGATTGCCTCATTCACGACGATGGAATATATGGTCAAATATTGCAGCTATATACATTGGCCCATCGAATGAGAGAGAAGTATGAGAGGAGGAATGGCCTTGAAAATTACATGAAACGTGGGTTCTGTCCTTGCCTTACAATATGGCATATGGGCGGGTTTCCTATAATAGTATATTATGTGATGTTAGCCACGTACCTATTACCACTGCCTACAACAACAAATACAACCACCCCTTGCCCTCTTTTAAAAAAAAATTTTTATGTTCATGTAGAAATAAACCACTTGCAATGCAACTACTTTTCTACATAAAGAAACAAGTTAACACAAGAGGATAACAAAATATAAAATAATAATAATAATAAAAAAGAAGGGTACATGTAGACTTGTATTAAAATTGTATTCTAATTTCTAAATAAGTATGACCAAATACAATTCTCATAAAACCAAGTAACATAAATCTAGCTCTCATTTTTATGGGTGCTAATTTGCTAAATATTTGTGTTTAACTTATACTTAAAAATGAGAATGAGTAGTGTAAGTAGAGAGAAATTTTGTTTAAAATGATGTCCTTGTCGAAGTTATTTTTCATGTAATAGTATCAAGGTGTAATACTTTAACATGCTTTTCAAGTTTTTTAAAAAAATTCAAATAAATTTTTATTCTTTCATTGCATTCGATTAAATCATTATATTTTAATTAGAAACTACATAACTCTTTATAACTACTTAATCAACTGTTATTAATTAAAATATCATTTAAAATTTTATATCGTGTGACACTAACAAGACATACTAATATATTATAATGTATGATCTAAATAGCATGCCGATGTGAATATGTAATATTTTACTTTTTACGTCAATGACACATTGGTATAAAATGACATATAATATTTCAATTAATGATAATTAACTAATCGTTAATCATAAAAATTCAAAAAAATTTTCAAATATTTTGTATAATAATAGTAATAGAAGGGATAATAATGATGATGGTATAGGGGGGGTATAAGTAAATTACCTTTATACCCGTAGTAGAAAATTTCTACAGCTCTAAACCTATGGAAAAGAAATGCGGCTGATGGCAATGGAATTAAAAGGGGGGGCAAAAATGAAAAAAACAAAAATAAAAAAACTTTCAAGTGAGTGAGACGTTTTAGTGGGCAATGTTAAAAAAGCCGAAGCCAAAATGGAGGAAAAAGCAGGGAATAAAATGGTTGCTCATGGAAAAGGCCATTGACAAAGAAGGAGAGAGAGTCTTGGCTCTCGGCTCTTGGCTCTTGGCTCTTGGCTCTTGGCTCCTGGCTGGGCCCTTATCTGAACACCATTTACCACCAGGTTGAGAATGCCGCAAAAGACGCTTATATAGACCCCTCGCGCCCCTCCCCTTCCCTCCCCTCCCCTCCTTTACCCTTACCCTTAAGCCTTCACTCTCCCTCTTTCACCACTGCCCTTCCTTCTCTTCCTCTCTCTCTCTCTGTCTCTCTCACACACACACATACCACCAGCCAAAGCAATTCTTCTTCAACCATCTTAAACCCACCATGGGAAGACCTCAACAGCGATACCGCGGTGTTCGTCAAAGGCATTGGGGCTCTTGGGTCTCTGAAATTCGACACCCCGTCCTGTAATTTCCTTGAAACCCCATCTGTGTTCTTTTTCTTTTCTTTTTTAGTTATGTTTCAGCTATAGGGAAACATTTTTCTTGATTGTTTCAATTTCTTCTAATGAGAGAAACCTTTTCTGCCTTCACAGGAAGACTAGAATATGGCTAGGCACGTTTGAAACGGCAGAGGACGCAGCCAGAGCATATGACGAGGCGGCGAGGCTGATGTGCGGCCAAAAAGCACGAACTAATTTCCCATACAATCCCAATGAGCCTCAATCTTCTTCATCAAAGCTTCTCTCAGCTACCTTGGCTGCCAAGTTACATAAATGTCACATGGCAGCACTCCAACTGGCTAAAAAAAATGCAGCAAAAGAGTCTTATGCAGCACAATGTCACCCTTTGGCTCCCACCAGTGGCATTGCCCAAAGTATTGGAGAAATGGATTGCCGGAGACAACCGGAGAACAAGTGGGATGGGGAGGAAAGTCAGGTGGGGAGTGAACAGCAGTTTATTCCACTAGAAGATGACCATATAGACCAAATGATAGAGGAGTTGCTTGATTATGGATCTATTGAACTTTGTTCTGTTACTTCAACTTAAGCTCTAAGATATAGTAGCATTTTCCGAAGTGTTAATGCAGCTTCTTTCCCCCCCCCTTTTTTTTTTTCCATTTTTCTACTTAAGGTAAAACTATAGGTTATATAAGATTAGATGCTACATTATGCAACATTGATGTGCATAAAGTAGTGTGAATACATTAAAATAAATCTGAATTACATATAATCAGGCATGCAGCCGCCTATTCTATCATTTCTTTTTGTGGTTTTCTGATATAAAGAGGGACTATGGGTATGGGGTGAGGATGAACATCAATCCCACCATTAAAATGTGAATACCGACCGGTAAGTCAAAAGCTTACTGATTACTTTGGATAGTATATGAAGGTATATATTAATGCTATTTTCTTGATGATAAGTTCGATTGGGTGAAAAAAGGAATATAAAATTTGGAATGTGCAATAAAGTAATAAGGAACCGAAGGTTCAATGCTTCTTTTAAGATGAACCTTTTCTTTCATTTTCTCTCCTCTCTTTTTCCTTGGCGGCATTGGTAACAGTACAGTACTTTGCTTGATTTAGGCCTCCTGGTGTGAATGCAAGGATCGATGTTGCTTTCGAGCAGGAAATTGAAAGGGGTTGCCCCAAATTAAGATTAATTACTAGTTCAGAGAAATGAGGGGAAGAATCACCAAATTGACTTGCCAGTAAGAAAGAATCCAGTTTACATGAGTGACAATTTCCAGGGTGACTAGTCATGTTCAATAAAGTCCACATATAAGACATACAGCTAATAGTTTTCTGCAGTTTTTGTTGTCCTGTTCTCTATTTTTGTTTTGTGCAAAAAAGAACAAAGACATGTCTATTCACTGGGCAGCCAATGTGAAAGAGGTTTGAGTTTCTTGGAGACCATGGTGATGCATTGTCTCTCTCAGTGAACATTCTGTTTGTTTTCCTACTGCTCTTCTTCCCCTTTTCTTTTTACCTGATATCCATCCAGCACAGATCCTTTGATTTCTTTAAAAGCAACACTTTTTGACTGCCCTGACAAGATAACCTAGTCATTGTTTAATCCCCCAGTTTCGTATTATTCTGAAATCTTAATTACTGGAGTTACCTCTACATCATATTTCACTATGTGCCATTTTTGTATGTTAATGGATCCATAAGAATACATTTAATTTGTAGCTATATCTAGGACACGCAGACAGACTGCAATTGCAAAATCTAACAGTCCAGAGATTAATATTCATTGAATGATCAGATTCCAACCTTGCTCAATTACATGATCCCACACCAACTCCAGAAAAGGGTAGCAGCAGCCGCCAGTTTTAGAAATCATGGTTGATTTCAAGTTACTCAACCTTGGGAAAGTGCTTTTATGTTAAAAGCAAACTGTCCAGCACTTGAAACATGGCCTAACAAAATTTAAGTATAATTCCAGAAGAAGTAAAGCATTGTTCTTTTGAGAAAATCTGCAATAACTTATCATCATCATCATCATCATCATCTCAATAGAAAAAGAAGAAGAAGAAGAAAAGAAAAGCTCTCTTTTTTTAATCTCTTATAATCACTTTTGGAAGAGTGATTCATTTGTTGTCTAATGTGTGCATGGGAAGATCACTCATGCTTACAATTTCCAACAATTTTTGGACCCCACATGTCAATACGCTGGATTGTCAAAATTTCTTCACTTGATTTGCTTTGATCAAACAGGTTTAAGCTTTGGGATTACAGAATATCAATCCTGTCAAACAAAGACTATTCAAACAACTTAAAATATTAAATCCTGTCGACTCCCAATATTAAATAATTAATTGGTAGCTTTGGATTTTTCTTAATTTCTTTTGATCTCAGAATATCTTCTCTTTTAGGTAGAGAGAGAGAGAGAGATCTAGGGTGGGGCAATTACCCCATTGAAATCCTAATGTCAAATCTGTAGAGAACTTTATATTATAATTTAATATTAAGAAACAATTTTCTTAATTTTTACAATGCTTCCAAACTATAAAATATCTATAGAAAACATTTGCAATGCATTAGCTTTATTTAGAAATATAATATAATATATGTAAATATATATATTTAATATAATTATACAATTATTTAAACTGTCATAACATGTGAGTTTGAAAATTCAACCGTTTGAAGTAAAAAAGAAAAACGATCTTTGTGAAATGGAAATTAATTTACATATGCCTTAATTGATCTCTTTGCTTTAGGGCATATATTTCTATATTTCCCTATCTTAACTCTTTGCTTTAATGCATTTTGCTAAGTGCTACCTATTATAGACAGTACTACTACTTTATTGAGAGGGAAAAGAATGTTTACAAAGCTACAACAATACAAGGCTGAAGCTTTTGTGTTTATTCTTCATATATATATATATATTCTATCTATATATATTATTTCTTTAAGTAATCTAATAATCTTTTGAAAAGTTTTAAAATGTTGGTGGGCTCTTTTCTTTTAATCTAACCCCATGCTCCATGATTAATCATCTTAGTTGGGAACTTATTTTGTCCCCCACATTAATGTTAGTGAGTTTAAGAATAATGGGTTTTTGTTTTAGGTTCTTTTACCTAGCTAGCATGCATTTGAACATTTCATGATTGCAATATTAATACATCAGGCCACCAATAAATTTAAATTTAAACCATAGATTAATGAAAGCACTATATAATGTAAATTATATGTAGTACTTCTTTTTTATGATAACTGGTTTTATTTCCTACATTTTCTTATTTTTAAACACTCACAAGAAATCAATGTTACATATATGAATAATAGTGAATGCATGCTAGTAATATTTTTTTTCTTAATTAAAAGAAATAAAATGAAGGAAATGATAGATGGAATATTGAAGATTGGGAATTCAATTTATGATTATAAAATGACAAAATCATGAGAGACAAGAAGGTGCATATGTAGCTTGTTTTCACATTACCAATCCTTATGGAAAAAAAAACAAAGGTAGTCAAAAACCCATCATAGCACATGGAATCTCATGTCCAAATTATGAATGAAAACAATTATGAGGCACTCAGCATGAAAGCCCTTAATCATATTTATGTCAGTCCTATGTTTAACTTTATATCTGTTTATAATTGGATTTAGATACTTGGAATTGAGTGAACCACACAATTATATACGCATCCACCAAAAGCCCTTCTTTTTGGTGGTTTTATAGTGGCCTATCCGAAATGCCAAAAGGTTACTGCAAACGTTATGGATCAATAATATAAGAAAAAAAGTTTTACATTTGAATTCACCAATCCAAGTGATTCCTATATTGGCTTTGCAAAGTGCTTAATCGTTTTAATCTTGGATTCAAACTCTCTCTCTCTCTCTCTCTCTCTCTCTATCATATATATATATATATATATATAAAAGAAATGAGTTTGTATATTACAATGTGTGTATGCAAGTGTACGCAGGTATAATTGATTATAAAGTTGAGTTTCTTGATAAGACTAGAACTAAAATTTTTTTCTTTCCTCCAAAGTAATAACGTACAGAAGGGGGTGGTTGGGGTGATGACCATCACCTCTTAATTTTTAATTTTTGTTTTAAATTGAATCATTGATATGATCCCTCTCAAAAAAAAAGTTATTTAATTATGATTATATAAAAAAAATTGTAAAGTAATTTTTCTCATAAGTCTTAGACAATGACGAATCTGAAATTTTGTATAAATGGTTAATTAAAGACAAATAGTCAAATAGAGTTCATGGACAAGACTACAACCAAAAAGTTTCTCTACCCATATACACTAGCTTATTTCCCTGTTTTTAGTCTCTTCTTTGTTCCCATCCCTTCACGTGCACAAGCATGTTACCCAAATAGTGTGCCCCATTTTCATGCATGTTAGCTTTCACATGGTTTTAGATACATCATGTATGATGAAGAGCCAAGAGCACACTCTCTCTCTCTCTCTCTCTGTCTCCCTCTCTATGCAATCCTTTACGATCAACCAGGTCGTGTATATTCCCTTTCTTTTCTCCTTGTCAATTCCCAAGGTCTTCAATCTTTCATCACATGGGGAGGCCATGCTATTTAACTAGAGTTTGATCCTATCCAGAGGAGGGTATCTGCATGTGGTTTGAGGTTACTTGTTGGAATCAGTATAGCTTTTCACTATTTGTCCTCTCATCCATCATCAATTCTGCTCGGTCAATTCAAAATTGATAACCTCGTAGGATAGTGGTCCTTTCATTTCTTACATCTCTTCTCATTATATGCCCCATGTTTATCATGCTAATTTTCCTTTTTACTTTCTAAAGTGACATTGATTAGGGGTACTTGGACGAAATACAGACTTAAAACAAAATGTTTAAATGAGACCCTTTTATTAAAATTAAGAAATTTTTTTATAATTTTGAATAACAAAATTCATATTTTCGATTTGATATATTCAAATATTTATTATGAAGTATAAAAAATATTTAACTATCATAATTATTTTATATTCTTTAAATGACTAATATAAAATCTATAATCAAAATTTCTAATTCAAATAGATTTATTATCACATAAAATAAAGACAATATAATAATATAATATAAACTCTAAATTAAAATACAAAAAATCTACAAAGATTAGAATAATAATATCTAATTGTTGAATGCTTATTGCAAATTGTAAATGAGGCTCACATCTTTATGAAGATAATAGTATATCAGACCTCCTGCGTATTTTTTGAAAGACATTTACAGTTAAAGAAAGAAAAAGCAAATGACAAAAGAAAATTTCAAAAGAGGATATTACTAATTGAAAAAAAATAGTTGAGAATTTATAAAAAAAATTGAGATTTATTAGACATATAAGTAAAAAAGTGAGAGAATATGTCATTTTATTTATTATTTTTGACTTTTACATATTTTTAAAAAGAAAGGAGATAATTAGTTCAAAATTAATAAGGATGTAGAACTGAGAGAAAATAAATATGTATTTGGGTCTAGGGTTTAGGTATATATTTTATATATTATTTTAATTTTAATATATTTTTAATATAATTAATTATATTATTATTATTATAAAAATATGAAACCTTTTCAAATTTGAAGCCTAAAGCCTTTGCTTGGGTGGTCGTACCCAAGCGTCGACCTTGCATAAAAGAAGTAACAGTCAACTTAGTTATACTTAAATCATAATTCTGTGATTCACGTGAAAATTGAAAATGCATTTCAATTTATTATTCTTTGCACTTAAATTTGTTGGGTCAAAATACTTAGAAAGTCCCTGTATTAAG